CCCCATTTGTGTGAGGGTCATTGGTGCTAGAGGGCCCCATTTGTGTGAGGGTCATGGGTGCTCAGGGCCCCATTTGTGTGAGGGTTGGGGGTGCTCGGGGTCCCATTTGTGCGAGGGTTATGGGTGTTCGAGGCACGCCTGTCCCTCCCCCCAGATCATCCCCTCTTTCTCCCCTCTCCCTCCCGAGCCACCAAATTGGAAAGGTTGTGTAGCTGTGTTCTAAACGACAGCATTTCTGCTTTGAAGGCTACCCAAAGATGGCTGCGTCGGGCGGCGATTCTTCCAGGCTCCTGCTCACCTTAGCCTGCTGAACGACCTGAAGCAGCATCTGATTGAGGCCACCGACTTCCACCATTCAGCTAGCAAAGTGCTCCAGTTGGACAGCCCAGCAGGCGGGAACGAAAATCCGACCGCCAAAGGCTTCAGCAAGGCCAATTATGTGACTTTCTTAGAGCTTCACAAGGACCTTGTCAGGTAACCTTGGATGGCCTTTTAGACTGCGGTTTCTCCGAGGATCTCGGCTAATACGGGAGTCCAAGATTTGTGGAGGTTGGATGGGGAATCCACCCAGATGTGCCCTGAATTGTCTCAAGCCAACGTAGCCTTGAGCAGGGCTCTTCAAACGTGGCCACTTTAAGACTTGTGGACTTCAACTCCCAGAATTCCTCAGCCAGCCCTGAGGGCTGGCTGAGGAATTCTGGGAGTTGAAGTCCACAAGTCTTAAAGTGGCCACGTTTAAAGACCTCTGGCCTTGAGGATGTCACATGATTCCAGGCAACAAGCTTGCTTGAGGAACCCCTATCAGGCTTCTGAGGACCTTCTTGGCTTCATGATGCTCAAATAATTTATGAAACTGGTTATGTCATACTTGGAAAGCAATTGGGATGTAGCCTGGTCCTTTTTGTTCATTCTACGGCGTATATACAGTTTGAAGAAACTTTTGTGTGTGTCTTACGTAACAACCAAAAAAGTGAGCGCCTGCTTCAAACCTTCCATTTTGGATATGTTTTCAGGCTTTTTTCCACATTTGTTCTGTGGCTGGAAGAAGAAAGGTTCCAGAAAGGGGACACCTACATTCCCTCTTTGCCCAAGCAATACGATGGACATCGGCTTGCCAAGATTATGCAGAACCAGCAGGTAAAAAAGGAACGGATCAGTTATATGTTACTTATATGTAAGGGTGTAGATTGGGGGTCTTCAAACTTGGCCTTTTTATGACTGGTGGACTTCAACTCCCAGAATTATTATTATAATAATGATGATGATGATGATGATGATGATAAAGTTGAAAGGAACCTTGGAGGTCATCTAGTCCAACCCCCTGCTCAGGAAGGAAACCCTGTACCATTTCAGACAAATGGCTGTCCAGCCTCTTCTTAAAAACTTCCAGTGTTGGAGCATTCACCGCTTCTGGAGGCAGGTCGTTCCCCTGGTTAATTGTTCTCACTGTCAGGACGTTTCTCCTTAGTTCTAGGTTGCTTCTTCCTTTGCTTATCAGAAGGTCACAAAAGGGGATCACATGACCCTCGGGCACTGCAACCTTCCTAAACACATGCCAGTTGCCAAGCATCTGAATTTTGATCACGTGACCCTGGGGAGGCTGCAGCGGTTATAAGTGTGAAAAATGGTCACGTCACTTTTTTCAGTGCCGACGTAATTTCAAACGGTCACAAAATGAATGGTTGTAAGTGAAGGGCTACCTGTAATAGGTGTGACGACCCAGGGCACGGCACACAGGCAATGCAGTCAGCTGGCAATCCAAATCGCCCTTTAATTGCTCCAAATTTTCCCCAATGCTCCCATGTTTCTGGCAAGCCTCCAAACAAAGGAAGACACACACACCTTCAGCCGCCTCCGGCTGCAAGTAGTTTCACAGACAGTCTGATTAGGAGAGGAATTTACTCAAGGCCACGGAGATAACAAGGAATGACACATACATATATCCAAAATCTAAGGAGTCTGTGGAAATACAAGCTTGCCTGAGCAGTTTCAGAAGAGAAGCCAAAATATAATCCAAGGTCTTTGACCATCCAAGCAACGTTGTCAGTCAGTCCGATGGTCAGAGTTTCCGGGTTTCCAAGCAGAAATCACAACACAGAACAAGAAATCAGCAACAACACACAAATCTCCAAGGAATCAGCATTTGTTCCCGACAAATGCCTCTCCCCACAGCGTCTCCTTATGTCTCAGTCTCCAGGTGTGCCTTGTGGAGAGGGGCGGGACGCTCTCCTCCCGAGTAGTTGAGCCTTCCTGCGTTGTTCCCTCCCTACTCTCCGTGCTCTAGGATCAGGAGGGGGTGGCCCTTGCTCATCACCTGAACTCTACCTCTCCTGTTCCTCCTGTCCCAATCCTGAAGGGCCCTGGCCTGCCTCGGCCTTCTCTTCCCTACATTCCTCTGAAGCAGCGGTTCTCAACCTATGGGTCGTGACCCCATTTGGGGTCGATCGACCATTTCACGGGGGTCGCCAAGCAAGGCTGTCCGCCATTTTTTCCCCCTTTTCCGGCGGGTGCCTTACCTCCCTTGGGCTGGGCCAGCTGGTGGTCGGTCTGCTCTGTCTCTGCTGCTTGCCAGCTACGCCTCGGCCGGCGCAGGGGGCGGAACCACGCATGCGCGGCGCTCCCGGGCAGGGAAAGTCCTCGACTTACGACCGGTTGGGTAGTCCTCGACTTACGACCAGTTTAGTCCTTGACTTATGACCGGTTTAGTCCTCGACGTACGACCGGTTGGGGGTCGCGGCATTAAAAAGGTTGAGAACCACTGCTCTGAAGCCACAGACACCTCTCCCTCGGCCTCCATAGGGTCCCCTTCCAGCTCTTTCCCCCCGCAGATTCAGGTTCCGACGGAGGCATGACATAGGTCTCAGTGGCTCCTCCGTTCTGATTCATTGTGAATTCGACAAATCATTTTGAATTATGCAGAAGTGCGATTGCACTTGTGCAACGGGGACCTCAAAGCTTCCATTCCATTTAGCACCCATGCTAATTGGCAGCCACCCCAAGCGGGGTGGGGGGTTTAAATTAAAGTTGAGTGCTTTAATTGATCTTACTGGCAACTAAAAATGTCTTTCTCCCCGTTGCTGCTTTTCACTGTCCACCTGCTGCTGGCTTGAAGGATCTCTGGATGGAATTTGTCAACGTTCAGCAGATTCAGCATGAGTTCCAGGAAACTTTAGACCTCTGGTTTCGAGTCAGAGTGGGACCCCTTCCTGCCTCAAGTGCTTCACCGGCACAGACCGACTTCACCGACCCTTTGTTAGGTATTTTATTTATTGAAATGAGTTTGAATATTTGTAGCTCGGATTGGTAATTGGGCTGTTCGTTTGATCTCCGAGCTTGGCGATTTGGTTGCAAACGTTTTGTCTCCATTTGGGAGAGGGACATTGTCAGTGCGCTTTGAATTGAGCTTGTCTGTCAGAGCACTGGCCTTTAAATACCTTTTGTCTGATGTAAATTGGTGTGGGTGTTGTTCGTCCTGTTGTTGCTGAGTCATGATCTTTCCTGAATGGAGGAGGAAAACGTCAATGCACTTTGAATTGAGCTCGTCTGTCAGAGCACTGGCCTTTAAATACCTTTTTGTCTGATGTAAATTGGTGTGGGTGTTGTTCGTCTGGATGTTGCTGAGTCATGGTCTTTCCTGAAGGGAGGGGGACAACGTCAGTGCGCTTTGAATTGAGCTCGTCTGTCAGAGCACTGTCCTTTAAATACCTTTTTGTCTGATGTAAATTGGTGTGGGTGTTGTTTGTCTGGATGTTGCTAAATCACCCGTGACCTGGATGACTGAGAATCTCCACAGGCATTCCAGACTATTCCTGGTTGCAGTTTATTAAGGTGCTGGCTCACCTGAAAAACAGTCCCCCCCCCCCCCAGAATATATTCAGCATCTGGAAAGCAAGAATTGGTGGTGAACGCTGTCATGGTTCCAACAGATGAAACTCTTCAAAAGAACTTTGAGGCATTGCTTACCTTAAAGAATCTTTATTTTGAGCAGCATAATATCGGCACCGCATAATCGAAGCCCAAAAACTGAATTCCCCTCCCCTTGAGCACCTAGTATCAAAGCACAATTCCCTCCTTCAATTAACGGTCATAAATCACTTTCCCCAATTAGCTTGAAACGCGGGCTTCCTCTCCAGTTCTCCAGCCCCTCCAATTCCTTATCAGCTCTGGTTACAATAACCTTGATTCTCACACTAGGTTTAGTGTTGTTATGTCCAGCTGGACTCTCGGTCACATCCCCCCCTCCCAGTATCATCTAATTCTGAAAGCAAAAGGTAAAAGATGGCTACATCTCCATCTGTTGTCAATGCAAAAACATCCTTTTTTTCCCCCCCCAGCCAAGGAAAGGATCATCAGCAGCTTGAAGAAATACGATGAGCCCCAGCCCCCTCTGCCTCTTCAACCGATGAAAGCTCCGGTGCCGGTCATTTCCCCGGCTAGCTTGGTAAACCAACATGAAGCCAAAGAATTGACTTGCACTAACCTCAGGGTCTTTCAACAGCATGCGAGGTAAGAATTCCTTTTTTCTTTCTTTTGCTGTGTTTGGTTTTTTCTCTCTCTCTCTTTTGAACTGTGTTTAGTTATGGTGTCCTTAAGTACAGACCGTCGGACTAGGGGGTGACATGATAGCAGTCTTCCAATATTTGAGGGGCTCTCACAGAAGAGGAGGGGGGGGCGACCTATTCTCCAAAAATTTACAGCATTAGCCTTGTGAACTCTCCAGCTTCTTCCTTCTCTTATGTGTTCAAGATGGAGAGTGTTTAATGTTTATTTGTTATGTATATGTAGGGGTGTGGGTCTATACATAAGTTGTATATTTAGGTGTGTGTCATGTATGTGTTTCACTTTGAGAGCAGGCAACTAAATTTCATTTTTGAAATTTAAAATGACAATAAAGTTATCTTATCTTATCTTATCTTATCTTATCTTATCTTATCTTATCTTATCTTATCTTATCTTATCTTATCTTACCTTACCTTACCTTACCTTATTCTATCCTATCCTATCCTATCTTATCTATCTTATCTATCTTATCTTATCATCTTATCCTTTCCTATCCTATCCTATCTTATCTATCTTATCTATCTTATCTATCTTATCATCTTATCCTATCCTATCCTATCCTATCTTATCTATCTTATCTATCTTATCTTATCATCTTATCCTTTCCTTTCCTTTCCTTTCCTATCCTATCCTATCCTATCCTATCCTATCCTGTCTATCTTATCTAATCTTATCATCCTATCCTATCCTATCCTATCCTATCCTATCCTATCCTATCCTATCCTATCCTATCCTATCCTATCCTATCCTATCTTGTCCTCTCCTCTCCTCTCCTCTCCTCTCCTATCCTATCCTATCCTATCCTATCCTATCCTATCCTATCCTATCCTATCCTATCCTATCCTATCCTATCCTATCCTATCCTATTTGTCTTGTCTTGTCCTCTCCTCTCCTACCTTACCTTACCTTACCTTACCTTATCAAAACACCAGAGGGCAGGAGAAGAAGTAATGGATAGAACTAAAAAGAGATTCAACCTAGAAGTAAGGAGAAATTTCCTGACAGTGAGAACAATTAATCAGTACACCCGATCAACAGAATAACATTATGACAGAGTTGGAAGGGACCTTGAAGGTCTTCTAGTCCAACCCCCTGCTCAAGTAGGAGATCTTATACCATTCCAGACAAAATGGTTGTTTTTTTTTTTTTTAAAAAAAAACAACCTCTAGTGATGACGCACTCACCACTTTTGGAGACAAGACATTCCATTGATAAATTGTTCTAACTGTTGCCTCCAGAAGTGGTGGGTGGCTCCATCGCTGGAGGCTTTTAAGAAGAGATTGGACCACCCTTTTGTCTGGAATGGTATAAGGTCTCCTGCTTGAACAGGGGGTTGGACTAGAAGACCTCCAAGGTCCCTTCCAACTCTGTTACACTATTACCGTTACTGTGTGAAGTTGTCTTCACTTTCTTCCTTTTTTAACGGGTTTAGATAAATTGGGACTCTATCTGTCAGGAATTCCCTCCCCTACCTCACTTTTTAAAAAAACGTTTCTTTTTTTTAAAAAAGGAGATGCATATCTTGTAAAGAAACAAAAAACCCCATCCTTGGCAAGTATCATATTTATTAAAAAATGGAGGCTGGCTCACTGAAATGATTTAGTTTTAGGGCTGGCTAGGAGGAATCTATTGGACAGTGAGTGGTTTATAATTAGACAGGCCTATCGCAGCAGCCATGTTGCAGTGAGAAGCTTTTGACGGCAGCCGTGTTGTCCTAGAGCA